GAGAGAGAGAGAGAGAGAGAGAGAGAGAGAGACAGACAGACAGACAGACAGACAGACAGACAGACAGACAGACAGAGTCTGGGCCTGGCAAGGGCTTTTGAAACTTCTAAGCTCACCCCCAGTGATACACTTCCTCTAACAAGGCCACACCTCCAATCCTTCCCAAAGAGTGCCACTCTCTAATGACTAAGCATTCAAATATATGAACCTATGGGAGTCATTCTTATTTAAACCACCACACATAGCACCAGAAACTTTGGGTGACTGAAAGCTAATTAAAAACACAATTTTTGCATTGTAAAGGTATGGGCACATAAGGGCACTGCTCAGCAATGAAAAGTAACAAACTGTTAATACGTGCATCAACACGAATGGATTCCCACATAATCTTTCAATAAAAAGGCCCTGCATAGGTATATCCTGTGTGATTTCTTTTATATAAATTTTAGGAAATACAATCAATCTGTAGTAACAGCAGCAGTGTGTTAGTCTGGAGTATTTGGGGGACCAGAACACAACAGAAGAAGGAATTTCAAAGAATCATGAAGATGTTTTTGGAGGTGATAGATAAATACATCTATCATTTTAATTATGCAGTTTCACAAAAATGTATAGGTGCATGTTCTAGTTAGGTTTTTCTGTAGTTCGGCAAAACACTAACCAAAATTACCTTAGAAGAGATGGCTCATTATCTTTCAACTCTCAGGTTATAGGTCATCACTGAAGGAAGCCAGTGCAGGAATTTAAGGCAGGAACCTGGAGGCATGAACTGAAGCAGAGACCATGAAGGAATGCTGATTTTTGACTTGCGCTCATGGCTCACTTAGTTTGCTTTCTTATGCAATCAAGGATCACCTGCCTAGGGGTGGTACTGCACTTAGTGGCTGGACCATCCCACATCAATCATTAATCAAGAATATTTGCCTACTCATCAGTCTGTTGTTTCTCAGTTGAGATTCCTTCTTCCCAGATGGCTTGAGATTGTGTCAAGTTGGCAAAAAGCAAACCAGCATAATTATCTTCTTGTCAGATACACAAATACATAACTATTAAACCACAACTTTCCTTGTCTATCTACAACACTAAAATATTAAACACAATATAACTTTAAAAGTCCTTCAGTCTTTAAAAATTCAGACACCTTAAAGGTTCAAAGTCTCTTAACTGCAGGCCCCTGTAAAACACAAAAATAAGTTATATTTTTTTCCAAGAGGGAAGACCCAAGGAATAGTTACAATCAAATAAAAGAAAAACCAAAAAAATCCAACACTGTAATTAGTTCAGTGTCTGACATCTGGGATTCACTCACAACCTTTGGGGCTCCAGAGGGCTTCAGCAGCTCCACTTCTCTAACTTTCTTATAGGCTCCACTCAACACCGACTACTGTCCTTGATGTCATCCTGTGTGGCATCTTCAATATCGGGGATCTCCACTGCAAGTGATGCTTCACCTGTACCATCAGCTTCTCCTGGCCTCTCTAGGGAGAGGCAACTCTGCCACAAAATGTCAAACTCAGCTCCCGTTGATGACCCCTGGACACCTGTAAAGCCAGTATATGGTAGGCAACTTTTCTACATCATTTGCCACGTTCTGCTGTCAGCTTGATGGGCCTCGGCTTTCCTCTAGAGCACAGCTCCTGTCTTCTGGTCCTGAGCAAATACTTCTATAAGATTTTAACTCAATGATGATAGGCTCTCAGTAATCTCAGTTACTTCTTCAGCCTCAGCTGAGAGGAAATCATAGAGCTTTAATTAAAATATCATAACTCTGATATAGTCTTTGGGGAACTTAAACTTCTCTCAGAAATTTCACAAGCTAGGCCTCCATTGCCTCTATTTCTCTAAAATTCTTACCTTGTGAGCTCCCACAGGATAGCTCATTAAGCAAAGCACACTTCCCAGTTTTTTTCCAGCCAAAAATTCCAAATGCATCACAATCCAAAACAATATGGTCAAGTCTGACACAGTAATGCTCCAGTTTGCCATTATAGGTTATATTCTTTCCTATATTGCAGTTCTAAAGGAGAGGAAAGGGTTCATTTGGCTTATAGATTATAGACATCATTGAGGGAACCAATGCAGGAATTCAAGACAGGAATTGAAGCAGAGGCCATGGAAGAATGAATGGTGTTTACTGGCTTGCTCCTCCTGGCTTACTCAGCTTGCTTTCTTATACAACCCAGGACTACCTTTCAAGGGATGGTACTTCCCATAATGGGCTGGGTCTTGCCACATCAATCATTAATTAAGAAAATCATCCTCAAGCATGCCCATAGACCGATAGAGGGCACTTTCTCAATGAAGGGTCTTTCTTCCCAGGTGACTCTATTTTTTGTCCCATTGGCAACCTAACTAACAATGTTAGTAAAACCAAGCATATATAGAGTTTATTACTTTATTATATTCTCTAATACATTTTAACTAGCTTATTTTAATTTCTATTAAGTTATTATCCTGGCCCTGTTGCAGAAGAGAAACACAAATCTTATTGGACACGGAGAAGTTGAGCTGGTACCTAACTAAAGTCTTCCCCCCATGGACTACCAGCAGAGAAAGGTAATTGTATTGGCTGGTTTTGTGCGTCTACTTGACCAAACTAGAGTCATCAGAGGAAGGAGCCTCAGTTGAGAAAATGCCTCAATGAGATCCAGCTGTAAAGAGTTTTCTCATTTAGTGATCCATGGTGGAGGGCCTAGGCCATGGTGGATGGTGCCAGATGTTGGTCCTGAGGTCTATAAGAAGGTAGGTCAAGCAAGCCATGGGAAGCAAGACAGTGAGAAGCCCCACTCCATGACTTTTCCATCATCTCCTGCCCTGTTTTAGTTTCAGTCCTGACTTCCTTCAGTAATGAATAACAATGCATAAGTGTAAGCAAAATAAGCCCTTTCCACCCCAACTTGCTTTTTGGTCATGGTGTTTCATTGCAGCAATAGAAACCCTAACTAAGACAGAAGTTGGTACCAGGACTGGGATATTTTTTGTTTGTTTGTTCTTTTAGGAATCTGAACTTTGGTGCTTTGGGTTTGGAGAAGTAGAATGCTTTAAGCACTGCTTAATGGGCCATGCTAGTGGAAGCATAGAAGGCAGAGGTGCGAAGAGTTATTTGAGCAGTGTGGGGCTCACTCAAGAGGTTTCAGAGGAGAAGAATTTTAATATGTTGCCTAGAGATTGTTCTTGTGATATTTGGTTGAAGAAAGTGGCTGCCTTGTCCCAAGATTCTTTCTGAGGCTAAAGTGAAGAGTTTTGGATTAATACCTTTGGCAGAAGAAATCTCACAACAGCCTAGTATAGACTCTGTCCTGTGGTTATTAGTGGTAACTCTAATGAAGATTTATAATGAAAAGTAGCAAGCTGAGCAGGATAGATTACAAAAGGTAAATTTTGAGGAGAAAAGGAGCACCAGAACGTGGAATGGAGCTAAATCCTGTGTTCAAGGAGATAAATGGACTAAGAAATAGAAAAAAAGGGGATGTTGACCTCAGGGCAAGATCCCACCTAGCTAAGTTTCCAACTTGTGGAAACTAAAGAAAGCTTAGAGTCGGTGTGGTGGGGCACACCCTTACCCCAGTCCTGAGTAGGCAGAAGTGGGCAGATCTCTGAGTCTGAGGCCAGCCTCGTATACAGAGCAAGTTTCAGGACAGCCAAGCTTGGGCAGTGAAAGACAGAAAGCTGGTGAAGATGTAATTGACTGAGGGGCCCATGTTCCAGCCCCAGGAAATAGAACTTAACAGCTTTGGCCATGTGGTTTTGACTTGAGAGTTTAGAAGAAAGGAGTTATGGAATAAAACCTCTGAGGCCAGGCATGTGTCAGGGTGTCACTGAATGGAGGCCTAGTAGAGAGGCCATTACTTGAAGTTGTGAAGCTGAAGTCTGGATTGCCTTGAAGAACCGGAGATGTTAGAAAGTCTCCCTTCCTTATATTTTTGTAATGGTAATGTATATCTGGTGCTATTATATATATGTGATGTGCTTTTTGATTTTTATTTTTAGAGGGGGATTGTGGTTAACAGATTGCATGACTCTCAGAAGAGACTTTGGACTTCAAAACAAGTTTGAGACTGTTACAGACTATGTGGACTTTTGAAGTTGGACTGAATGCATTCTTTTTTGCATTATGATATGGCTATAAGCTTTTGGGGGCCAGGTAATGGAATATAGTGGTTTGAAAGAAAATGGCCCCCAAAGGGAGTGGAAGCAGGCTTTGAAGTCTCTTTTGCACAAACTTCCCTCAGTGTGATGTTCAGCTGATTTCCTGTTGCCTGCAAGATGTAACACTCTCAGCTACAGCACCACGTCTGCCTGCACACTGTCATGCCCCCATCATTATGATGTAACTGTAAGTGAAGCACCCCAATTAAATATTTTCTTAGTAAGAGTTGCTGTGGTCATGGTGTCTCTTCACATCGATAAAAATCCAAACTAAGATGCTTGGCTTTTTTTTTTGTGTGTTGTTCATTTGTTTGCCTGCTTCTTTTCTAGGGAGAGAGAGAAATAAAGGGTATGGAATTAAGAGGGTGGGAAGGTAGGGAGAATCTGGATGTAGTTAAGGGAGGGAAAACCACAACCAGAATATATTGTATGAACATTTTTTTCAATAAATTTTTCAATGGTTAAAAAAAGTTGTAACCCTATCTCAGGTGACAAGTCCTTAGTGGGTTTTTCCTTCATTGTCTTCATAATTTTTCCACTATGTGCCTTGAGTGGACTTCCTTCCCACTTGCTGCCCATGGGAGCTGACGTCTTGAAGAGCTCGTAAGGGTGGACTTGCATGTGATGGTGTCAAAGAATCATCATCCGTACCCAGAAGTTATGGGCTAATTTCTCAGACTTGTGGTGATATATTTTTATGATTTAATAAAGCTTGCCTGAGGGTTCAGAATGAAAAGCTAGCCAGAAACCATAGAGCCAGGCAGTGGTGGCACACATCTTTAATCCCAGCACTCAGAAGACAGGCAGATGGATCTCTGTTAGTTCAAGGCCACAATGAACTACACAAAATTGATCCAGTCTAAAACGGAAACAGTTCACACAAAGGGGATCTCAGCACTTGGGATCCCACACCATTAATCCCAGGATTTGAAAGGTATAAAAGGAAGAAGCAAAGGGTCTCATGAGGGAATTGGTCTCCAGCCACGATGGGGACAGGACACCTCCTTCAGCCTGATGTAGAGGTAAGAGATAGTGGCTGGCTGCTTTGCTTTTATGATCTAAAGTTTGAACCCTATTATATGTCTTTGGGTTTTTATTATTCGTGTTACACAGACTGATATTCCCCACACCCTGAGTGTCTACACTCTGAGTGCAATTGCCCGAGGTGCTTCATTCTCTCAGGAAACTGCTGCTAATTGGATTTTGATGCTTAGATGATGCTTGACTCTTCATTTCAGCTTCCTGGAGATCTTCCATTCTCCTTTTACTAGAACTTCACTGTATTCAAGCTTGAAAGAGTATCCTTGCTCCCCTACCCCCTGCAGTGTATCTAGGCATTTACAGCCGGAGAATTCAAGGCTTCTCACTCCACCATTCTGACAGAAGCTCTCATTAACACAGAGCATTCCTGTTGGCCTCTATTGTCAACAGTCCTTGGAAACCCCTGTTGTCAAGGCTGCAGTGACTTTATGTTGCCAAGTCTACAGTCATCTCTCCTGGCCTCTTGACAGCAGTGGCCTCATTTGCCTTCTATTTGCACTCTTCCTTTTCCATCAGTGGCATTGCCCCTGGATAATCCATTTACTTCATTGGCTATATAATATCAACCTTTTTTTTCATCTTTTCATATACTCTGTTGTTTGAATTAAAATGGAGTTATGTGAACCAAACCCTAGCAAAATATACAAACAAAGGCAGAAGGACATCCTATAGCTCACAACAAGAAATATCAGAAGAGACTACTGGGACCATGACCTTGCACTAAGCCACAGTGTTACAGCACAAATACTCCTGTAGGGACATCTGCCCAGCAGCTGTCTGTCTTTTCTGAATTGATGCCATCTTTGTTATTGATTTTCATAGTCAAGGGTAATTATTAGAAAATAACCTAAATTACTCTGTTTTAGTTAAGGTTTCTGTTGCTGTGAAGAGTCACCTTGATCATGGCAACTCTTGAGCATAGGAGACCTCAAAGCCAACCTCCACAGTGATACACACTTCCTCCAGCAAGGGCCACACATCCTAATAGTGCCATTCCCTATGAGCTTGTGGAGGTCAATTACATTCAAACTACCATGTTCTACTCCCTGGCCCACATAAGCTTGTTACAATATAATAATGTAAAATGCGTTTAGTTCAACTTCAAAAGTCCTCATAGTCTGTTTTCAACAATGTTTAAAAGTACAAATTTCAAAATTCTTATGAAATTCATGCAGATCACATACTTTCAAGACACAACGGCACAGGATATATATTACCATTCCAAAACACAGGGAAGGAAGCGTAGTGAGGAAATACTGAACCAAATCAAGACTGAAAACCAGTTGGGTGAACTCCAAACTCTACATCTTTGTGTCTGATGTCAAAGCACTCTTCAGATCTCCAACTCCTTTCAGCTTAGTTGACTGCAACACACTTATTTCTGGGTTGTTTCCACTCTCTTTTAGCAGCTCTCCTTGGTGAGTAGCCCATGGCTCTGGCATCTTCAACTCTTTCTCTGAGGCAATCCAGGCTTCAACTTCAGAGCGTCGTACAGTGGCCTTTTCTACTAGGTCGCAACCTATCAGGGACACCCTAACATATCCTGCTGGGTCTCAGAAGCTGTCCTTAGTTGCTCCTTGACGCTAAAGTCAGAACCATGTGGCCAAATCTGCCAAGTTCTGCTGCTTGCTGGGGCTGGGACATTGCCCCTTTAGTCAATTATATCTTCACCAGTTTTTTATTTTTGATTGTTACCTTTACTATTTAAGCTTGGCTGTCCTTAAATTTGCTCTTTAGACCAGGCTGGCCTCGGACTCAGACATCTGCCCACCTCTGCCTTTACAGTGCTGGGACTAAAGGTGTGTCCCACCACACCCGGCTCTAAGCTTTTCTTTAGTTTTCACAAGTTGGAAACTTAGCTAGGTAGGATGCTGCCCTGAGGTTGCCACCCCCTTTATTCCATGTCTCAGTTCGTTTATCACCTTGAACACAGCATTTAGCTCCATTCCACATTCTGGTGCTCCTTTTCTCCTCAAAATTTACCTTTTGTAATTTACCCTGTTCAGCTTGTTACTTTTTATTATAAATCTTCATTAGAGTTACCACTAATACCACAGGACAGAGTCTATAGTAGGCTGTTTTGAAATTTCTCCTGCCAAAGGTATTAATCCAAAACTCTTCACTTTAGCCTCAGGCAGAATCTTGGGACAAGGGCAAAAGGAAGCCACTTTTTTCACCTAAATATCACAAGAATAATCTCTAGGCAACATATTAATTTTCTTGAGCAAGGCCCTCACAGTTAATCAATTCACACTCAGCACCACTGTGTTCCATGCTTCTACAGTTTCAGAGGTTTAGTCCATTATCATCATGGTGGGACATGGTGGCATGCAAGCAGACATGGTGCTGGAGAAGGAGCTAAGAGTCCTACATCCTGATCCATAGGTAACAGGAAGTGGGTATAGGTTGAGCTTAGGAGATCTTCCAAGCCTGCCTCCACAGTGACACACTTCCTCCAACAAGGCCACACCTCCTGATAATGCCACTCTCTATGAGCTTATGGGGGTCAATTACATTCCCAAATAAATGAATTGTGTTTGGAGATTCTCCCTCATTTGTTACTTAGATTGACATCTGCTTGGCCTAATGTTAGAAAGCCTTAGGGTTCTTCTGTGGGACATCTCTTCTCCCCTTCTCTTTCCCTGGAGATCTTGTCAGAATATTTGTTGATTACTGCCAAAATTACCTCTCCAGTTTAGACTCAATTAATTTCCAAACTCATGTGATACTTTTCCTACCTGAGCTCTTCTCACAGGAACTCAAATCACATCCAAGTTGAATGGGTCCAGAGGAGAGCCTCAACCCTAACCCCTTCTCCCTTCAGGAGCCTGTTCTTACTTCTCCCCAGCCTTCATCGTCTCAGGAAACAGCATGACTCTCCCTTGCTTGAGCTGAAACCCTAGGAACCATTCTTGGCTCATCTGTTCCTAGAGTCCCACATTTGACAGTCTAAGGACTGTGAGTTTCCAGTAGCACAAATTCTAATCCGTATTAGTAATAAAAACCCGGAGTCAGATACTGGGGCGGCGGGGAGCCGGGGGAGAGCTGAAAGATCAGAGAAGCAAAGCAGACAGCCACTACCTCTTACCTCTACCTCAGACCAAATGGGCCACCCTGTGCCCACAAATCCTCAGACCAAATGCTCAGACTGACTGCCTCAGACCGACTGCTTGGACTGCCAGGACTGCTTGGACTGCCTGGACTGCACTGCTTCTCCAACTGCATTGAGCTCTTGTCTCTTCCTGTCTTATACTCCTCTTCCTCCAGCCATATCCTTCCTGTCTCCACCTCCTTAGTGCTGGTATTAAAGATGTGTTACTCCAAAAGCTGTGATCACCTTTGTGTGAGCTCTGTTTCTCTTTTAGACTGGATCAATTTCCTGTAGCCCAGGATGGCCTTGAGCTAACAGAGGTCCATCTGTCTTTGTTTCCCGAGTGCTGGGATTAAAGGTGTGAGCCACTACTGTGTGGCTTTGATGGCTAACTAGTGTGGCCAGCTTTACACACTGATCTTCGGTTTCCCCTCCAAACTGTCTCCCCATCTGTTTGCTCCCCCTCTCATTGTTACAACTACCTCCTTCCCTTAGCCCACCCGTAACTCCTTTCTCCCCACTCAATAGCATCCTACATGTTCTGCCTGCTTTTAGTCATTTCCCCACTATAATCCACGAAATGTTGAATTTTCCTTTTAAAATATAGACCAGGATGCATTGTTCTACCATTAAGTCTCCCCCATGGCTTCACATGATGGTTGAATACAATCCAAATGCTTCCTTTTCAATGTGCTCTTACACCATTTGAGTTTCACCTCTGATATGTCTCATGCCGTGCTCCTTCCTGGCATGTTGGCTTTTCCTGTCTCCTTGAAACTCACTCTTACCAGGTTCATGGTCCACCTGAGGCTTCTGCTCTTTTTCACATGGCAGGCTCTGCTCATCTTTCTGATCCCCTCTCGTGTGACACCAGGTGTAATTGATTTTATGACTTCTTTGTCATTTCCCTCATGGCCCATCTCACAATATTAAAACAAAGATATTTTTGGTTTATTATCACCTTTCAAGTTCCTAACAAACAGGAACTTGAAAAATTAATGAACTTTTAAAAGTAATTTTAGGTTCACAATAAAATTGGATAGGAAATACAAGAAGCTGTCATGTGTCACCCCTAGCTCCCTCCCCACTAGTGA